ATCATTTCCTTATGATTTAGTAAACAATGGGAATATAATGCTCCCCAAAACTACTTGTATCCAAATTACTCTTTGATGTCTTTCCTATAGATCTTTTCTGAAATAATAAACATTATCATTTATACACTTACTGAGTGCCATGCACTATGTTACACATCGTGGAAGCATTATTTCATTCCATCTTTACAACAACCCAGTGAAGTTGACATTATCACTTTATAAATGAAGATACAAAATCAGAAAAGTTAAGCAGAATAGACACAGGTGGCAGACTGACATTAAAATCAACATCTGACTTAAAAGTCTACATTCTTTCTAACACTATGCTATATTGTAAGAAAGTTGGCCCTAATACTCTATTTCTTAAATATTTTAAATTCTTAAAAAAATACACATTTTTTCTATTTGAAAAAACTATTCCTTTTCCCCTTTTACACATTGTTACCATTCTGATGTTCTATGTAAACATGAAATTTTACATGAAAAGGTGGAATTTATCCTGATGCCCCCATTCATACAGCATAGGAAGGCAAAAAAGGTACATGTATTCATAGTGATTGGGTAATTTGCCTGTTAAGTGTGAATATATTGGATTACATGCTTTCTAGCACTTAAGTCTCAGGATATAGATCTGTTTTAGGGCTGGCAAGACCCCCTGCTTCCATACCCTTCATTTTACAAAAGGGGAAACTGAGATAAGCTAACTTGCCAGTTAGTGGCTGGCCCTTAAACCCAAGTCTCCTGACTCTCCATGACTTTATTATTCTTTAGCGGGCCTATGAGGTAATTCCTAGGTGACAGACATGGGGATAGTCTTTTGCCTTCAAGCAACTATGGCCTTGGAGTAACAGCATCTCTGACCCACCATTCAGCCAGAATCTGACCATCCTTTCTTCATTTGCCTCTTTCTTGCCTTTCTCCACTTCTGACAACATTACAATTTCCACCTTCCACTTCTTCACCCAATCATTAGATAAGTAGCAAATAAAATATTTTGCTATTTAAAAACCTAAATTAACCATTAAGTCAATTCCCAATAATATAATCAGAACATCTTCTGGGCTGTCTCTCTACTCCCAAGTAAGTAAACACCAAGAAAATAGAAATTCATGTTATTATCTACCTAAAACCATACATATTTATACAGATAAATCTTATAAGTTAAATTAAACACATAATACTTTCCAAAGGCAAACATTAATGATGAATACATTATACAAGTTCCAAACAGAAAATGGGTAGGGAAGCAGTCTTTTATGTAGGATTAGCGGAGTTTTTACCCTCCCAACAAGTGTGTATTACTTCTGTAACTTAAAACAGAAATGCAAAAAAAAAAAAAAAAAATGACACTGCTTTTAAAAGTAAGAATTGTAGTATCTGAATATATTCTCCCCTCCTGCAAATTTTTATAACTATCTTTAATGAAAAGGTGGTGCTTCAGAGGAGTCAAGAATTTTGTGGGCCATTTCTTATACAGATAATTTACACTTTTTTTTTCTTTAAACTTGGCTCTTACTCTTCCTACCCCACCAAAAGGAAAGAAAGGCCTATTCCTAAACAAGCTTAAATTCAGTGGATCTTCCTATCCAGTTTCTTCAATGAGTGGTAATCTGCTTTGGAGATTTGTAGTCAGGAGTTTGGATATTTTAGAATGCTCAACAGATTTTCACAACCATAGCTTTTAAGCACTGAGAGCAAATACAAGTGCTCTTAAGACAGGTCTCATTCAAACACTTTTGCCCTGAAACTGGGACAGCTAACTGCTACTTGGGCGCCCCCTGGGGACCAAACAGTTTTTTACATCTTTAGGACAAACTAGTGTCTTCTAAAAATACTCATTCAAATAACACTTATTAAGCACCTCCTATGTGCCAAGCACAATGTTCCACACTGGAGACACAAAAATAAGTAAAATCAAGTTTCTGATTTCTACAAGCTTACAGTCAATACCACCCAAAACTTTCTAAGCACAGTGGGTAGGATGGCCAAAGTATGATTTACCTAGACAGACCCTGGAGTAAGTTATGGCACAAAATAGGATGCTTTTTGGGTGCTACAGAAAGCAACTTGGCATGGATATGGGCTTTAACATAATTTGTTTATGTGAGCTAAATGTCCACCATCTTCAAAAGAGAAGTTTCAATACCCCCTCCCAGCTAACACAAGCAAAATTGTGGTTGTTATTTTCAAAGACAAGTTTAGGTTACAGCACCATAATTTTCCTTGGGCCAAATACAAATAAAGCTTAATTTTAAAAAGTCAGATTGATGCAGTAGTCCCATCATTGTTTTTTAGTAACAAGTTAGTCCACAATAATAACCACTCTGAGCACTTAGCTCTAATAAAGGATTGTACTGATTTAGAAAAGGACTAATTTTCAAAACAAATTGAGCATGCAAGGACACAGACTGAGAAAAAATCAGTAATAAAGTAAAACAAACTGAGAAGACCAGTAAAAATAAATAGGCAAAGTCAACTCCCAAGTCCCCCTGAAACATTTCCTTCCCAGTTCAGAACACCTTCAGAAGATACTCTACCCAATTTGCTTTTTCTTTCTTAAGATCTGGAAGAGCAAATAGTAAAGATAGAATTCACCTCTGAAAAAAAAAAGTAGCTTCCCTCCAGTTACACCCTCATTGCTAGCTAACTGCAATGCCCAGGACATTAGACGGCCAGACTTTTCAGGTTCAGAGCCAGGGCCCAAAGATGGACTTCTGGCAGCATGAGTTGGAAATCAATGTAATTTTCCTACAAAAACAATTCTATTTCAGCCACATCTCAGGTACTCTCTGAGCTAAATTAATACTGGCAAGACAGGGAATTTAACCTTAATTTATATAACCTTTTCCCTAAAGAAAAAAAATTAGTTTCAAAAATTACAATCTTTTGGGATTCAGCTGATGTTTGCCTGTCCATTAAAGTATTGAGTCAAATATAAGAGACTCAGAAAGGGAAGAAAACCTCTGACTTAACTGATCATAGACATTCCAGTTTATTTAGTCAGCTAGGGAATAGTAATTGTTAAATTATAAACTATTTGGAATTTGTACATATCAACTTAATGTTCATGGCAATTGGAATCAGGAGCAACTACTTCATGAAACAAGTCAAAACATTTTAAGTTCACATAATTGCTGAAATCTTATAGAATACATTATAGAACATAGTCATCATGGAAACTTACTGATAATTAACAGGTTTAAGATACTAACAGCCTTTACTGAACAGATTAAAGAATAATAGTCACAATATATGTATTTTTAAACCAGTGGAGTAATGCAGATATTATTAGTTTGGGTGTGGATATTTAAAGACACATCATACTTCAGAAACAAAATATTTAAATGAATTCAAATGTAACAGTCATAAGCAAATTTTTTAAAAGTAAGACTATTTCCAAGTAGAAATCTCATAAATTAAGAACAGGAAGTCTGAAATGGAGAAAAAAATAATTTGCATCTATGTGTCCCAGAAATCTTACCTCATTTAAAATTCGCAAATACCATACTAGATAGGTATTACTACTTCTCCCACAATGCAAGCTAAAAGTAACAACTTCTCTGAGACCAAAGAAACAGTAAATGACAGCATTAGGGTTTGAACCTTGACCTGTTTTACTCAATAATCTTTCCTCCTTCCCCTGTAAGAGTCATTTCATATATAACACAAGGACTTGACATCATCCAATTGTGACTTGTCTTTTTAAAAGTGAAAAGAACCAACGAAAATGAGAAAAATACTTACACATTTTTTTTTGGTTGAATTAGTCCCACTTTTACTCCTAAAAATGATCAGTAAGTATAAATAAAGGCTGTAGAACACATAATGATGTAGCTGAAACCATCCAAGAGGACAGCAGTGGATTGTATGAACACAGAAGGAGTAAAAGCCCAAAATTAATATAAGCCATATACTGGAACAGAGGGAATTATTTTAGAAGTTCTGAGTCAAAACTTTTGTTGGTCACCAAGTCGCCAAAGGAATTGTTTGGGTGTTTTACAGCACTACTGATCACCTCTTCTGTTTCGAGATATTTTCTGTTTCCCTTTTCTCCAAAATATTCCCCAGATTCTCAAATAAGCCTTTCTCCTCACAGTGTCACTGCGGCTAACCACATATCTGATCGAAAATTGGCAGAATTTAACTGGTAACCTTATCACGCCTTGAAGAAAAAAGAAAAAAAAGGGCGGGGGACACGATCTTGAGTTGGGAAGTATCTCATACTGAGTTTAAATCTGGGTGCGCAGCCTCTTACGTACTAGAGGGATCAACTGGAGAAAGGAAGTGACTTGGCCATGGACCAAGCGTGAGTTGGCAGCAGGGCCAGAGGTTGAAGCTTGAACTCATACTCAGTTCCACGGCTTTTCCCACCACGCGAACCCGGTCTGAGCCTCAGAGCTGGTACTGCCATTGACCGGGCCAAAATGTTTTCGGCAAATCATAAATTACTAAAACAAACAGCCTGCCCCCAGGCTCCTTTCTAGGGTACAGACCAGTTAGTTGAAAGGCAGGAGTTTAGAGGGCCTGTAGAAAGGGGTAGAGTGGAAAAACCGGTCTCCCCTTCAGGCAGTTGGTTAGCCAACAGGGCCTCTCATCTAAATCCTTGCTCCTTGATACCTCCCCCACCCACAATCAGCGACACACTGATCTCTGTGCGCTGCGGATCCCCGGAGGCAGACCCTCCCGGGATCCCTCTCCCAAACAAATCGAGACGAACTTGGTTGTCAAACTATAAGGAAAGAGAGGAGCCGGAACAAAGCGACCCCAAGCGGTCCCCTCCATTCTGGGCGCCCCCGACGAGAAAGGACGTAGACTACCAGTCCCGACATGCTGCGCGCTGGCGGACCCTCGACCACCGCAACGCGAGCGGCGAGGTGGTCGCCGGGACTCGTAGTCCGCGGCTCCCGAGCTCCAGGGGGCGCGGACAGCCAAGCGCAGCGGGACAAGCCGGCCCCACGTCCAGTCAAGCTTAGCGAGCCCACCAGCTGTCCGGGCCTCACCTCGACGATGCGGGCGCACTGAGTCCCCTTGCCGGCGCCAGGACCGCCGAGGACGAACACGACCAGCGGTTTCATGAAGCGGTGAGAGCAGAGGAAAAGCGGCCGGCTAGACAGCAGAGGGAAACTAAAGCCCAGGACGTGCAGCAGCCGGCAGCCGCAGCGGCTCAGCATACACCGCACCTCGGCCGGACGCTGAGGGAGCTGACAGCAGCGGGCCCCGCGGAGGCTCTGGGCGGGGCGGAGAAGGGGGCGGGCCGAGCTGGCGCCGGCCACGGCCCCGCCGAGGTGGCTGCCGAGGTGTCTGCGCCGCGGCCGGAAGGGGCGGGGCTTCCGCTGTTCGCGCATCGGCGGCGGGCTATTCAGCCCGCCGCCCCGCTCCGTCTCTCCTCCCCGCCCCTCTGCTGGCTCGTTCATTCCCTTGCTGGCAATTCGTTCAGTGTACGAGTTCCTTATGCTGCGTCTCCTTGTGTCAGGTCAAGCCTGTGTTGGAGTCTGGGACGTGACACGCCAAAGAGTAAAAGCCATTGTATCTGATCCAAGGAGTTTAAATCCAGCGGGAAGGCAGCCGACCTGAGCAAGTCAACACACTAAAGAATGAATGAATACACACATACATACACGCAAATAGCAATACTAGCTTTGAAGGAAAAAAAACGGAGGAATAACAAAGGCCATGTCATCTGGGTGAGTTAGTGGGGAAAGCCCTATAAAGAGGTGATATTTAAATCAAGATATAGGCCAAAGACTGGGGTAGGGTCCTACAAAAAGGGAAAAGCATGCGCAAAAACCCTAAAATGGATTGTTAGAGAAGGCCAGTGAGATCAGAGCTGTCTGAATGAGGTAAAGAATGGAAGGTAGGAGAGTTAGGCTGGTGGTGGCAGGTCGTTCAGGCCTTTTGGTTAGGGAAAGGAGTTTGGATTATATTGCAAAGCGAAGCCCTTTAGCTATAACCCATCTCCCTGCCTCCTGCAGGAGGGGAAAATCTAAAGGGAGAAGAAAAGGGAGTCCAAAGAATGAGCCACATGTGGCTATTTAAATTAGTTACATTAAATACAATATAAAATTCGTTTCCTTAGTCACACTGACCACAGTTTCAAGTGTTCAATAGTCATGTGGCTCGTGGCAATTGTATTGGACAGCGAACATACGGAACATTTCCATACTCATAAAAAGTTCTATTGGGCAACGCTGTACTATATCTTGTATTTAAGCTATTAGGAATGATTTGGTAGAAGGGGAAGTATCACTGAGAAGAAAAAATGAAATGGGTTCCAAAGGGTTCGTGGAGGGCCTTAATGACTTAAAAGTTTCTAGAGACAAGTTCATTTGTAATAGTTGCAAGAAGAGTACGGTTTCAGGAAAGTTTGAAAGTAGGAAGGATTCGTGTCTGATGATTTTATGTTCTCAATAAGGAAAAGGCAACATCAGCTGAGGGTAAGAGAAGGGAGTAGTATGTTTGAGGAGAAAGAGGGTATGAAATGAGTATCTTTGAGAGTGGAAAAGTTGGTTTTCTCAAGGAAACTAGTCAGGAGGACTTCTGAGCAATATTAAGAGTTTATATGATATTTAAGATCGTGTATTTTAAATAATTGGAGATGTTTGACTGTTCAGGTGCAGGCAGAAAGAAGACAGATCGTTGAGTTCATCCAGGGTTGGAGTTTTGCCAGGAAGTACAACAGAAGGAGAGAAGACCAAGAGGGTGTTTACAAAAGAGTGTTATTGATGATGTACATGGAATCAAAACCACACAGAAGCAAATGATGGCCTATGAGGGCTGATAGTGGAAATGTTAAGGGGAGCTGGGAAAGGGGCCAAGGTACTAGAAGCATTGATGTCAAAGAATACAATACAAAGGGGTACTTGATCAGGGAAGCTGGCAGTACAGATGCTGGTGGTCTGAGTGAGGTATTTGGAATTGATATTTCAGAGGTTGTGAGTTCCTGATGATGATGAGATCCAGGTGAGCCCATTCAGGTTGAGACCATGGGAATAGATGGCTGAGGCCTAATCCGTGCCCTGTTTTTAGAACTGAGAGGCCAGGGTTTTAGATTGATTACCCAAGTAGTAGTTCAAATCAGATAGTATTAGAGTGAAGAGAGAAACTACAAGAGAGGAACTGATTTATTGAAGGCAGGGTGACCAGAAGGTTGGTAAATGATAGCAAGCAGGGAGGATAGTGTCTAGCCTTCTGTCTGGCTACTCCCTGCCTTCTTTTCCCTCTACTACTCCTTTTCTCTTCCCTCACCCAGTATTTCCAGCCTCCTCATTTCATTCTACCTTCTTCCCTCCTCTCTCTTATTCTTACTTATTCCCATCCCTCCTCCCCTTCTTTCCTATTTCTACCTCCCTTCTTTTCTCTGCATCTACTTTTCTTTTCCTGTCTTTCTCCCCACCCTCTTTTCTTTGCCCTTCTTACTCCTTCTCCTTTCAGTTCCTACTTTCTTCCTTCCCATAGTGGCTACCTTTACCTTCCCACCATGGAAGAGGGAATGGAATATCTCAGTTATCACAGAGAAATCTTACTATTGATGATTTATTCATATTCCTTCACAATGCTCTTTTTTGGGGGGGCTTCTTTATGGTGCCCCTCCACTTTCTGAAAAACAAGAACAGTCAGTCATATTATTTAGATAGTAAGAGTACAAAAAAGGCCATATTGAAGCAAATGTGCCTTTTCCTTTGTGCATGTTCTCTTAAGTGACTTTTCTGTACATCATCTTCTGGCATTAGTGTCGTTGAAAGATATTAAGGGCATGGGGTCTGTAGAAAAAGTGTCTAGGAAGCTATTTGCATGCTTTTAGTGAAGGTTGTAGGCCCTATTCACATGCTTTTAATGAAGGCCTTAGACCATAGACAAAAAGATAGTCTTTCTTCCTTGTATAATGGAGTCCACCAGAACCAAGATTTCACACAGGAGTTTGGGTCCAAAACTTCCTTGTAAACCTGCATATAGCAATATGTAGTGACTTCTCTGTGTCTCCCTGGAGAACTATGAGCACAGTAGGTCAAGTACTTATTGTTCTGTACCTTGCCCATCTCTTTCTACCAACCATGCTAGACAACTGAAGAAAATACTCATGTGGAAAGATATAAAAAAGTGAAACCCAGATACTCATCTCTGCCAAGGGGGTTGCGGGGAGTTATTTCCAGGAAGAACAAGACTAGGAAAAAGCACATTTTATTGTTTGTTGGCTCTTAGGGTCTGATCTGGTTATCTATTGCTATACAACAAACCAACCCCAAAACTTAATGGCTTACAACAAGAAATGCTTCATGTGGGAACCTCACTTACCACCCCCCAACCATTCACACATTTAGTGGCCAGAGTGTTTAGTGTAGGAGACACAAGGGAGACTTTTCCCAAAACACCCATCTTACCACACCAAACAGTCACATGGAGCAAGCCAAGGAGTCTAGGATTCATAGAAAACACCATGCTACTCTGATGCTTGAACATTTAAACACTCTGCTCATTCATGGTGAAAAGTCTCTTAGCACCTTGGTCCTAATTTGTCCCCAGGAATTCATTTTGTCTTAATCTCATATCAGTGCTCCTATGCCCTGGAGTGACAGAGAAACAATTATTTCCACCTAGAAGCAAACGACGAGACCTTCAGTAATAATATGCCTCAATAAATATACACTGGATCGATGAATGTCACCCAATAAAGGACCATTCCCTATTTAATAGACCATTCCCTACCCATAAATTAAATCCATCAAGTAAATAGATTCGATGAATATCTATTGAATATCCACTCTGTACTAGGCATTTCACTTATATTGCTTGTTTTTTGGATGACATCAAAACCTTTTAATAATTAGTGCAGCAGAATATCTATAGAGATTTCTGTGCCAGGATTGCTTGACAGGCATCAGACCTCTAATTGCTGGGTTATGGGGAAGTCCTTGGTTTCCCAGAAGAGACATGGAGGACACTCAAAGTGCTCAGAAAAGCAGCTATATACAAACTCTTAGGAAAATAATTGAATATTTTAACCACTAATAGTCTTACCAGTTGTGTGTTGGCTAAACATCAACCTTGCCTTATAAAATCCTTATAATGCTGTGAAGTTAGTACTGTCATTTTGCAGATGGAGAAACAGAACCAGAAACTGGAAGTGCTTTGTTTAAGACCACATAGCAGTAGACAGAAAAGTCAAATTCAAACTTTTTTTATGGCTTCAAATCTGCATTTTTTTTGTACAAAACTGACCCCTTACAAAATAAAAAGTTCCATAATCACAAAATCCCTTCAAGTAAGTTCTATTATAGATGAGAAGACTGATCTCAGAAAGATATAAAACAAGAGCTATCCTCAAAACCCACTTCTACCCAGATGTGTTTATTTATCATCAAGCACATTAGGTCTTTGGGAAATATATTTAGTACATGCATACTATTACCAGGACATGGCTATGTTTCTAGTGAACTCTCTGGGGGCTTAAGAAATAGGATCTTTTGACCAATTATCTGCCCTATATTTCATAATTGCCCTTTAAGATAGATGATCTGTTCTCATACTTTCATTTTCCCATTCTTGACCTTGCCTCTTTGCTGGTATGTGCTATTTATGTTATAGGATTCAGCTTAGATTTTATGTCCTCCAGGAAGATCTCTAAATTCCCATGACTGGGTTAGATGCCCCTCTTTTGTGCTTCTACACTCCCTTGTGAGGAGCCCCTCACCTCCCCCCACACTCCATCCCTATTTACTACTGTTGTAGCACTGTAGTATATTATGCATCTGTCTGCTAGATTTAGACTCCTTGAAGGAAGGGACTATGATTACCCTTTGTACAGATAATGTGTTATTGTTACAACAGGATTCACTCTTTTAAGGGAACTCCAAGGTTCTTGGAAGATTTAGACTGTATAACTTGGGCCACTCAAGTTTTATCTACAGTGGTCTTCAGTAGCTGCTTCTCTGTAATTCCAAAAATACCTTCCTTGAGTGTACCTAGGAACTGCTTTCTAGAGTCAGTCTAGGTGAGGAAACAAAGACACGGCACTTGATTGGCATAGGTAGGGGGATGGCAGGCCATATGCTTTGCATTCGGGCTTTCATAACCATCTATGTTATGATCAATTTCCTGGAGGGATGCTTAGCCCATTACATAACCTGATGGTCAATGGAGTTCTAAAATGGAAATTTATTCATATTTGCAGATATGGTTATTGCCGTATTCCTTTATCAAAGGACCTTTTATCAAAGATTCTGAGAGCATAGGTAAAGAAAACAAAGGCTTTAAAAAGCTGATGTGTCAAATCTAACAACAGACAATA